AAAAAATTAGCTGATATGTAATTAGAACAAGGTGTTGCTATGATACTAATTAACCTTCTGTTACCGGCTGTGCTGCACTGCCTGTAGTTTACACAGTGCACAGCGGTTCTTTCTGCGTGGCTGTAAATGAAAGCCGAGCGTACAACTGAACAAATGTGGATAATTACATTTATAAATTTAAATTTATCTCAGTTTTGAATCTACCTGTAACTTCTATATAATTTCCTGTTTCAATGGTTATGTGTCTCAGGTCCACACCAGACTATATTCTTCTTTCAAGGAAATTATAAAAGAACTAGTTCACAATCTTTCCAGTCCGTCTTAAATCAATAGTCAGGCATCCACATGAATACTCATACAGATTTTTCTTGCTGCAATAATTTCTCCTGTGCAAAACGGCCACTGACGTGAGTAAAAACACAGAGTTCATCTGAAGTTAACATCTGAGCTAGACAAATCTTCCAGAGTTAAAGTCTTTTAAGTGCAAGATTCTGTTTCACTGTCCTTATGTTCTCAGCTGTTTTTATTCTTTAATGAACTGGATCCTGCGTTCCGTCATAATCTTGTGGGCCTGTGATTTATAACGGGGTGTCGCGCATCAAAATCAAATGTGTGACACTTTATTATTTTAATTTACATTCTGTTCACATGGTGTATTTGTGTCTCATCAAATCACAGACAGCCTGGGGGCAGGTATAAGACAACCGTCTGGTTTTCCTAATGTGTCTGTGCAGAATATAAAGAAGCTGCTGTCTGTAGTGAGCTATGGGCCCAACACTAAATATTTTTGATTAACTTGAACTCATATTAACTTCAGATAAACTCTGGAACATATTTTTTAACACAGTACAGAGGCTGGATTTTCAAAGCGCTCAGTGCACAGAGAAATGCACGCAGCCTGTATTCAGAAACTGAGCCTTAAAACCAGCCGTCAGGACTTCTGGAACTTTGTGATGTCACAACAAAGCAGTCAGAGCCTCCTCTCTTCTGATTGGCTCACCAACCTGTTGTTGCTAGAGCTCCAGAGAGAAGCCTGAGAGAGGAGATGTAAAACTACACTGAGATGGTTTTTGGTTCTTAAAACCACAAATATGTCTTCTTATGGATCAACACTTCAAAATAAAAATGCCAGGAAAGTGTTTATAAACATGGGACCTTTAAATAAATGTGTTTAGGTAAACGTTGCCCTCTGTTTAATAAATAAAAAGTCACCTCGCAACCAGAACTGCTTTCAAACCGTCCACAGCTTTGTTCAAATTTCAACTGTTTCTAATTTACCAGTGACTCACTGAGCTTAAAACTCATATTTGCCCCCCATAGATAAAAATACATTTCACAAATTACATTTTACGGTATTAAAAAATAAAAACCCCGTGTCTGACAAACGCTGCTGTGAGTTTGGAGTGTGGCTTCACGTGGCTAAGTCTTCCTTTAACTTGCCTGTTGTTGCCTTTAATTTCTATTGTTCTCTTTTCTTAAAAAAAATATATATACGTAGGTGAATAAAAACATATCAGAGGTAGTCTGGGCAGACCTTTTTGAAGTTACAAGATATATTGAAGTTCTTTGGATAATATCACAGCTACTACTACTACTACTACTTGTAGGGAGATTTTATCAGATATAGCTTTAAGAGAGATTCAATTCAGTTAGTTTTTCTTATGAAGAGAAAAAAAAAGAGATGTTTTCTGTAAATACATGATTTTTGTTTTGGTTTTTGGGTTTTTTGACGAAATGGGTTGATTATAAAATCAAAATGAAAAAAATCTGATCTCGGCTCACTTTACATGCGAACTGATGCACCCTTCTGTTTGTTTGTTTTTTATAGAGTCATCATGTCAAATGTCGGATATCAAATATCAGCTCATGTAAATAAAAAGACCAACAAAGGCTTTTTTGAAAAAGTTTTGTATTTTTGTTTCCCTCTCTCTTATTTAAGATGATCATCCTTTGCACATAATGTTTTTATGATGATGCTTATATTGCATAGGCATGTTTAATGACTTGAGAAGATCGAGTTTTATTTCTAACGAGAGAAAGTTTTATTATTTAAAATGTTTAAATGACTGGAACAGAAAGCTTTTGGTTCATATTTTTACGTTTTGTTTGGTTTTACTGTCCCATGCCAATTATATACAAATAACACAATGTTCTGTTAACAATGAAATGTCAATAAAAGTGAAAACTTCATTGTCTAAGGCTTGTTTTTCATTATGTGGTTATTCAGTGGTGTCCAGATCCCATACATAGCTACTGTGCGCATCCTGCAGTTTTCTGTTTCCAAAACATGTCCCACTGTTTTCCTGCTTATTGATGCATGTAAAACTTTTTTTTCCCTGGACCTCGTCACTGTGTGGTGTTCTCACAGTCTAAAGCATTAAATTTCCATCGAGTGGGGAAACAACTTCGGAGGTCAGCAGTTGGAGCTGCAGCAGTGGCTTTAACACACAGCTCACTGAGGCAGTGAAGGTGGCTTTAAAAAGAAACAAAAAACTTTCTCTCTCCAAAAAGTCTAAAGAGGTTATAACAATGTCATGGTTTTGTTTGGTTTAGGAAAAGATGGTGATTTGGGGTTAGAATAAGTACTTCCTCAACATTAGATGATATTCGTTGTCATGGTTACAATAATAACAACGCGGTTAACTTTGTCGAACAGTTGTGGACAGGAAAACAACATAAACTGCTGCTTTCACGTGGGAATTGACGCAGACTTTGTCGCTCATCGCCGCACTTTCCCCCTTTTGCTCCTGTCATGATTACTACGGCCACTAGATGTCGCCTAGCAACAAAACGTAACCCTGCTGCAGAGACGACCTGTGGGCTCGCTTTTTAAATGAGGATAGTCTGACGTGTGATATACACATTTTTCAGTTTCAGTGTCACTTCCCTCGGATGTGCGTCATGAATAAACCCACATGGTGCCAGTTTACCTATAAATATAGACTTAAGTATAGGCTTAAAAAACACAAGGAACAAGTCAAGAAAAGCCGCCAAAATAAGTCACAAAATCAATGAGTTTTTGTCACGTTGCACAGTCAATATGTTTGTTAGATTACTGAGGATCAGGACGTCTCATCAACATGGTTCTTATATTCCAGGAATCCTGAAACTCTCATCTGTCCATTCATACTTATATCTACCCTGAGGAGTGTTTGGGGGTCACAGGTGTCTCAGCTTTATCTGAGGGGGGGGGGGCCCACAGTGCTGCCTTCTTCACTTTAAATTAATATGCCAAGAACTAACCAGAGCAATCACCAATAAGTTAAACCTCCTGTCTGTCTCTGTTTACTTTAACTTATTTATTTATTATTTAATCTTTTTTATCTCTCTTTCTCTCTCTGATCTTTGTTGTCGTTGTGTGATACAGCAGAAAGAAAAAAATACACAGTTAAAATGTACATTTCATCGTTGTTATAGCTTTGCTTTGAATAGACCTGATTCTAAATGAATTTCTGTAAGTCCATTAACAGTTTTGGGGCATCTGCAGTATAAATCTACCAGATGTGCATAATAAATCTGCCTTGTGGCATTTTGCTGAAATACCCCTTCAGGGATCAATATGCGCCTCCTCTGGTGATATGCAATGTGTGAAACCACCTGCCCAGTAATGGGACTGGACTCTGTGAGTACTCACGCCGTCCAACAACATTTTAATTTCACGGCAATTTAATGTTTTATATGGAGTTTTCATGGGGACATTTTCTTTCTTTTACTGTGGACAAATGGATCATTTGCTCAGATTTCTTGTTTCACAGACTTTATGTCATCGTTGTAAATGAGTCAATGCATCACCACTTACCAAAGTTGAAGGTGCCCTGTGGAGGTTTTTGACCACGTGTCAGCACACAGCGACGGCTTGATGAGTCCGCTCAATAATGTTTATTCTATCAGCAACCACACAAGGACACACATGTACACGGGTGACAGTGACTAAATAATGAAGTATTGATATTGTGTCAATAACACACATATGATAATATCATGATGGTAGATGTTAGGCCTTGAGGCCTTTCCACTATCCACTGTTGTGTTGTTGTTTATGTATTGACAGTAAGGTGTGCCCATAGTTAAATTGTAATTTCACAGCCAACCTTGGATGAATGCATATGCTGTTTTGCTCACCTCAGCTTACCTGAGCAGGTGGTGGGTTCCAGTCAAGGGAGGCCCAGAAGGGAAAATGTTTCTGAGTGATCAGAGGAGAGAATATGTTGCTGTTAGGCTGCTTGTTTTTTCTCTTTGAGCTTCAGCCAATGTTCTTTTTGTTGAATTTGCTTCTTGAACACCTGCTTTAAGGTTTTTCAGTGCCACACAAGATCTACCGCCCTTCATGTAGTGACGGTGCCACATCTACCAAACAGTGGGAACAGTAGAGGTGGAGGCATCACATCAAGACCATGAGCAGGTTTAAGATGTTGCTCATGATGATGTTTACAGGCTAACAACACTTTAAAGGAGGGAAAAATATATTTGTAAAAAAATTAATGAGGCGCTTCCATCTATTTTCATGTTGTTCATTAAAGGTCCATATAGTGTAAAGGTCTCTGTCCATGTGTAGTGTGATTATAGATCAGGTCTAGCTTCTATATTAATACTGTGAAAGTATCAAAGCCTCAGTCCACAGAGAAATGCACACAGCCTGTATTCAGAAACTGAGCCTTAAAACCAGCCGTCAGGACTTCTGGAACTTTGTGATGTCACAACAAAGCAGTCACCAAGCCCCGCCCACCTGGACCCACCATCCAAACCTTGCAGGATTTGGTTTCTCTGAGTGTTTTACCTGAAATCTGCTATATTTTAATTAGATCACTCAAAAAACAGACTGACCTGTTGTCACTAGAGCTCCAGAGAGAAGCCTGAGAGAGGAGATATAAAACTACACTGAGATGGTTTTTGGTTCTAAAAACCACAAATATATTTTCTTATGTATCAACACAGGGAAAGTGTTAAGTATGAGACCTTTAAACATTTTAATTTCAATGTTGAGAAATAATGAGACACAATTGGGAAAAAGACAAACATCTTTATTCACAAATCAAACAACAGATTTGGCTCAAATTCAGCCACAGACCAAATGTTAGTGAAAGCATGAGGAGAAATTCAGACACAGTCGTAATCAGTATAGGAATCTGTGACTTTTACAGCTGTTACTTTAAGTGCACGTGCAGCGTTTCTAACACGTCAATCCTGTTCAGTGTGTTAACAGAAAAAGCAAATGCATGTAGACAAGTTCAAGAGCTGCACATGCAGGAACATCCTCTTTGCAAGAGGAAGCAGGGGAGTTTACAGAGAAGCCATCATCAAGAGAGGCCCACTCATCCTCTAACTATTCATTAACACGACAGGGGTTTCTAAAGAAGTCCTCTTCAGAGCAGCAGCGGGTACATGAATGCAGCGTCCGGCCCGGAGGTCACAGGACAACAACCTGAACTCCACATGGGTTTTCGAACCTTCCCCACATTGACGTCTTCTGCTCCATTATCACGCTGTTGTACCAGGACCAGTTTAGTACCAGTTGGTGCACGAGATCATGAAACACATGTTGTCCACGTGCCTGTTTCCCATCCTGCACTGGGGCAGCTCGGCTGGGGCGTCTGTGAAAGTAAGGTATACATTACATATTTTGTGACATCAGATTACCTTTATTCTGAAATGAAACGATCTTCATAAAGTTACTTCTTGCAGATTTAAGGCAGCTTTATTTTCAAGGTGATCATTGGTAAATACCATTTAAAATATGCAACAGATTTTTTTGTCGTGTACTTCATCATGTATCAATATGAATATGAGCAGTGGTGGAAGAAACACCAGAACATTAGGGTAAAAATCTCCTACTACAAGTAACAGTCCTGTATTCATAATCTAACTCAGTCAGAAGTGAACTATTATCAGCAGAATGTACTCAGAGTATCAAAAGTAAAATTATTTATTCAGAAAATAAACTAATGTATTATTCTATATGATATTATTAGATTAATTGAAAAGCGGCAGTAGCTGCTCCAGGTGGAACTGCTTTTAACTATTTTATTATACAGTTTATTCTAGTGGTTCCCAACCTAGGGGTCAGGATTCCTCTGAAGGGTCACTGGATAAATCTGAAGTGTTGTGAGATGACTAAAGGGAGAGGAAAGGAGAAAAAATTGTTTTCATTTTGGTGATTTTTGTCTAATCCTTCCTCTCTTTTTTTTGAGAAATATTGAATAATTTCACCTCGTTGGGCCGGTTACAGTTATTTAAATAAACTATCTGAGAAGTTCAGAGGGAAAATGTCTCGTTGGTGAAGCTGCTAAAAACATAGACATCTGAAATGTGACAAGGCGACACAACTACAGTGTTTTCGTAGGTTGTCACAAGCCAAAAAAGGCTGGAAACCACTGGTTTCATCTTTACCAATGTGTTGTATTTTATAAGCCTATCATAAATTTTTATGTTACATCTTAATGTGTAAAGTAGAAACAGCTGTCAGATGCATTCAGTGGAGGGAAAAGTACAATGTAGTGGTGTGGAAGTCCCTCATAACAGAGAAAAAGTATTTGGCTCCTGTGAATACCTTCAGACCCTGAAGTGTCAGCACTGGCAGACTCTTGGTGTTTTTCAGTCTTGTCCTCTCTCTCCTTGGCTTTCTTCTCACAGCTCTGCTCTCCTCCCATTATCGACTCAGCAGGTCACACTTGGGAAAACATACACATGTACAGACACACATAAAGACCACCTGTGTCACAGTCTTGAATGGGCAACAGTTAAGAAAAAAAGCACATAGTTAGATTAGCTTAGCATAAAGACTGGGGGGGGGGGGTATCAGTCTTTTGTTCTAACTCTGCCAGAAAGTGGCTGTAATCATTATAATGTGGTTTAGTAGCAGGTAGTTATTTTTAATCATGTTTTGATGTTTTCCAATTGCGCAGAAAGACCTCATTTGATTCAAGTACAAACACTTTTGCTTTTGAGTGCAGGTTATTATGACAAGGTTTCAAGAGTGTAACTCCTTAATTGTGATTTTCTGACAAGCATTTAAGAGCTGATATTGAAAAGGTGGATGAAAATCTTTGCAGCAGGTCTGGATTAAAGGATAAGGCTGAAGATATTACTATATTATTATATTGTATAGAATATTATATGACATATTATAACCCATAAAAAGACTGAAGCCAACACTGTCTCCTACTGACGTATTATTCCTGCATTGTTTCCAAAAACTATTAAAAACACACCAGTGAGTCACAGTGTTGCACTGGGTGACATGTTCCTTCATCATCATGAACACACACACCGTGCTTTATTTTGATTCAGTCCCACACACACCGTCCTGCTGCCAGAGAACCAAATGTGGATTAATCCACCGCTGAAAATAGTCCCCAATAAATTCCCTATTTTCCTCTTGTTTGAGTAACGATTGTTAAAAACTACAGTTAGCAGCTGTTTTAGGAAATTAAAATGGTAAAGAAGTCAGATTATTGAGAGACAGGGTAATGCATTGTTGGTTAAGTCTTTTCATGGCGAATGCAATAAATAACACAAATATAGAATACTGACAGTCTTATCCTTTTAATGTCAATAAAAAAAATGTGACTTTATACTGTCAAAACAAATGATGAGGAAAGCTAGGGCTGGTCCTGACAACCTAACGTCATAGTATACTAAGACATAAAAATGTCAAAAAGTGCCATTGTATAGTAAGGCAAAAAAAACCATAGTATAATGACGCATAACAACGTTGTTTTTATTGCTTTGATTTCTTCCTATACGATCTCGTTTTTATGACTTTTCATGCATTACTATAATTTTTTTTTTTTTTTACTTTTTGGCCTTAGTATACCATGAAATTTATGCGTTATTATACTGTCATTTTGTGCCTTATTATAATATGATATTTTTATGACTTTTCATTTCTAGCTATACTATGTTGTTTTTATGCCTTAGTATACTATGTCGTTTTTAATCCTTTTATGCCTTACTATACTGTCGTTTTTATGACTTTTTATGTCTTACTATACTATGTCATTTTTATGACTTTTTATATCTTACTATACTATGACGTTTTGACGCCTTACTACACTGTGACTTTTTATGCCTTCCTATACTATGATGTTTTTATGACTTTTTATTCCTTACTATGCTATTTCGTTTTAATTACTTTTTATTCCTTACTATACTATGACTTTTTAGGCCTCACTATACTATGATGTTTTCATGACCTTTTCTTCCTTACTATACTATGACTTTTAAGGCCTTACTTTACTATGATGTTTTTATGACTTTTTATGTCTTACTATACTATGACTTTTTATATCTTACTATACTATGATGTTTTTATGCCTTACTATACTATGACTTTTTATGCCTTACTATACTATGTCATTTTTATGACTTTTTAAGTCTTACTATACTATAACGTTTTTACACCTTAACATACTATGACTTTTTAGGCCTCACTATACTATGATGTTTTCATGACTTTTTATGTCTTACTATACTATGACTTTTAAGGCCTTGCTATACTATGTTGTTTTTATGCCTTTTTATGTCTTACTATTCTGTGTTGTTTTTATACCTTGCTATGCTATAACTTTTTTTGACTTATTATGCCTTATTATACTATGTCATTTTCATGCCTTACTATTCTATGTTGTTTTTATGACTTTTTATGCTTCACTGTACTATGTTGTTTTTATACCTTACATTAGTATGTCATTTTTATGCCTTACTATACTATAACATTTTTATGGCTTATTATGCCTTACTATACTATGTAATTTTCATGCCTTACTATACTATAACGTTTTTATGACTATTTATGCCTTAATATTCTATGTTGTTCTTGTGACTTTTTAGATCTTACTATACTATGACGTTTTTATGACTTTTTATGCCTTACTATAGTATGATGTTTTTATGACTTTTTATTCCTTACTATACTATGACTTTTTATGCCTTACTATAGTATGATGTTTTTATGACTTTTTATGCCTTACTATACTATGACTTTTTATGCCTTACTATACTATGACGTTTTTATGACTTTTTAAGCCTTACTATACTGAGACTTTTTATGCCTTACTATACTATGTCGTTTTTATGACTTTTTATGCCTTACTATACTATGACGTTTTTATGACTTTTTATTCCTTACTATGCTATTTCGTTTTAATGACTTTTTATGTCTTACTATACTATGACTTTTAAGGCCTCACTATACTATGATGTTTTCATGACCTTTTATTCCTTACTATACTATGACTTTTAAGGCCTTACTATACTATGTTGTTTTTGTGCCTTTTTATGCCTTACAATACTATAACTTTTTAGGCCTTACTATACTATGTCATTTTTATGACTTTTTAAGTCTTACTATACTATAACGTTTTTACACCTTAACATACTATGACTTTTTAGGCCTCATTATACTATGACGTTTTTATTCCTTTTTAGGCTTCACTATACTATGATGTTTTCATGACTTTTTATGTCTTACTATACCATGACTTTTGAGGCCTTGCTATACTATGTTGTTTTTATGCCTTTTTATGTCTTCCTATTCTGTGTTGTTTTTATACCTTGCTATGCTATAACGTTTTTTGACTTATTATGCCTTATTATACTGTCATTTTCATGCCTTACTATACTATAATGTTTTTATGACTATCTATGCCTTACTATTCTATGTTGTTTTTATGCCTTTTTATGTCTTACTATTCTGTGTTGTTTTTATACCTTGCTATGCTATAACTTTTTTTGACTTATTATGCCTTATTATACTATGTCATTTTCATGCCTTACTATTCTATGTTGTTTTTATGACTTTTTATGCTTCACTGTACTATGTTGTTTTTATACCTTACATTAGTATGTCATTTTTATGCCTTACTATACTATAACATTTTTATGGCTTATTATGCCTTACTATACTATGTAATTTTCATGCCTTACTATACTATAACGTTTTTATGACTATTTATGCCTTAATATTCTATGTTGTTCTTGTGACTTTTTAGGTCTTACTATACTATGTTGTTTTTATGACTTTTTGTGTCTTAATAAAATATGACGTTTTTATGCCTGACTATACTGTCGTTTTTATCACTTTTTAGGTCTTACTATACTATGACTTTTTTATGCCTTATTATACTATGACGTTTTTCTGCCTTACAATACTATAACTTTTCAGGCCTTACTGTACTATGATGTTTTTATGACTTTTTATGCCTTACTATACAATGACTTTTTATGCCTTACTATACTGTGAGGTTTTTATGACTTTTGATGCCTTACTATACTTTGACTTTTTATGCCTTACTATATTATGACTTTTTATGCTTTACTATACAATGTCGGTTTTATGACTTTTTATACCTTACTATACTATCACGTTTTTATGACTTTTTAAGCCTTACTATACTATGACTTTTAAGGCCTTACTATACTATGTTGTTTTTGTGCCTTTTTATGCCTTACAATACTATAACTTTTTAGGCCTTACTATACTATGTTGTTTTTATACCTTACTATACTATCACGTTTTTATGTCTTTTTAAGCCTTACTATACTATGACTTTTTATGCCTTCCTATACTATGTCGTTTTTATACCTTACTATACTATCACGTTTTTATGTCTTTTTAAGCCTTACTATACTATGACTTTTTATGCCTTCCTATACTATGTCGTTTTTATACCTTACTATACTATCACGTTTTTATGTCTTTTTAAGCCTTACTATACTATGACTTTTTATGCCTTACTATACTATGACATATTTATCATTTTCATGCCTTAATATACTATGTCGTTTATATGACTTTTTATGCCTTTCTATACTATGACTTTTTATGCCTTACTATAATATGACATTTTAATGACTTTTTATGCCTTACTAAACAATGACGTTTTTATGACTTTTTATGCCATACTATACTATGTCATTTTTCGTCATTTTTCTGCCATACTTTCTTTTGATGTTTTTTGGCATTTTTATGCATAATTATATCATTATGCATTTTTATGCATAATTATAGCATTTTGACCATACTATATTATGTCGTTTTTTGTCATTTTTCTGCCATACTATACTACTTTGGCATTTTTATGCATAATTATATCATTTTGACTCATGCCTTGCCATACTATGACGATTTTATGACCTTTTATGCCTTAATATACTATGATGTATTTTTGACATTTTATGCCATACTATACTATGTCGTTTTTTGTCATTTTTCTGCCATACTATACTACTTTGGCATTTTTATGCATAATTATATCATTATGCATTTTTATGCATAATTATAGCATTTTGACCATACTATATTATGTCGTTTTTTGTCATTTTTCTGCCATACTATACTACTTTGGCATTTTTATGCATAATTATATCATTATGCATTTTTATGCATAATTATAGCATTTTGACCATACTATATTATGTCGTTTTTTGTCATTTTTCTGCCATACTATACTACTTTGGCATTTTTATGCATAATTATATCATTATGCATTTTTATGCATAATTATAGCATTTTGACCATACTATATTATGTCGTTTTTTGTCATTTTTCTGCCATACTATACTACTTTGGCATTTTTATGCATAATTATATCATTATGCATTTTTATGCATAATTATAGCATTTTGACCATACTATATTATGTCGTTTTTTGTCATTTTTCTG